TGTACTAAGTAAGCATCTACAAAGGTTGGAAGAGATTTTCTTCCACTGTGAAAGAAAGGAGACACCGATAAAAAGAGGCCCACGAAAGCTTTGCTTGTCACAGAGTGTAGCAGTCCAAGTGGTGATTATTCTGAGTGGCATTGCATGCTCGAGCTGGCCCAAAGATCAGCTCCACGCAAAAGTTTTGGCCGATTATCGATCGTCCGTTCCTAGTCACCTTGTCGAGATCGCCTTTGCCCAGCTGCCAAACATTCCAATCATCAGATCTAGCACTTTCTTTGCTTTTTGGCAGAGAATTCTAGCCTCTTTTGCTTACCTGCATCATGCTACCCGATATAAAGTAAGTGTTGAAGCAAAAGTAGAAGAGCCTTCCACCGTTTTTGTTGTAGAAAATCGCCCTCACATCGCCTGATACCTGGATTTGCAAGGTTTCATGTCAAAAAAGCCCTGGAAACGAACGAAAACGATGCCACTCACGCATATAGGCTTGTCGAAGTAATGGTCGAGGCAGTCCTTCTTCAAGAGGTTCGGCCTCTCCGTGTCCATCTGGACGACGAAGCGCGGTTGATTCTCCTTGCTCTTCTCATCGCCTTCCTTTGGGAGGAAGGATAAGTAGTAGCGTGGACTTACTGTGCGAACAAATCCTTTCTTCAACGGCTCGCACAGCCCCGACGCAATCTCCACGGGAGACTTGTAGAGCTCTCCTGGCTCCTGCATCAAGTCAGTCCCGAGACGTGATTGCTTGGAGATAGTTGAGCACGACGATAGATTGTTACGTACCTCTTGGATTTCCTTGATCGAAAACTTCACAGCATCCGTCGAATTTGTATCATACAGACGAATCCTTCGCAGTTCTCGGGGCTTTGGAGGTGGAATACGAACGTCCGGGACACCTCCATCGCTCGGAAAGACAAGGATTTTACTCCAGTAGCGAACATACCTTCGCTGGCTCGGGATCGTCACCTGGAAAGCTCTAGCTGGTGAGTTTCGAGAAAAAAAGAAAAGAAAAGAAGAAAAGTCTAATGCCAGGCTTCTTACTCCTTGGTTATTATATGTGCGACGACTCCCATACAACTGCAAAGCTTCCTCGGCTGGCATTCCTTTGTACACGAGATACGCGCAAACCATCAAGCCCGTCCGGCCTTTCCCAGCCTGTGCAGACACAAAGGCAGAAAATAATCAAACATGGAGAGCGTTTTGGTACGAGCAATGTAGCTGCCAAGCTACGAGACAAAATGCCAAACTCTGGAACAAAGTGGAATACAAAGTCTAAAATCTAGGCTTACTTTGCAGTGGATCACCGCCACGTTCCGAGGGTCCTGTAGAAGCCAATCCTCCACGCTCTCGCAGAAGAGCTGGATGAGCGACAGTGGCGGTACGTGCATATCGTCGAAGGGAAACGTCTCGACTCGGCCATGGAAGCTGCCGGGATCATAGCTGCATTCCACGCAGAGATTGTAAACCTGGTGGAAGAAGAAAAACCCATCAGGAAAGGAAATCTATGATACCAAGTTGGAAGAGAGAAATGAAAAAGCTTACTTTGTAGTAAGATCCGTGCTTGACGTCGAGCGCTCGCTGGACTTGCCACATAGGATTCCGATACATGGCGGTCATGTCCTCGGCGGGGAAGGACATGGCCACGAGTCTGTCCGTGATGTAGGACATATCCAAGTTATAGCCCCCGAGAACAAGGCGGCGGCGCTCCTTGGAGACGAGGCTCCGGAGATAGTGCGACCCGGCAATGAATTCGATAAGCCTTCCTTTGAGGAATCCTCCATGGTTTGTCAATTGCCCGCCACCACCAGCAAGAGAGTGCTTGGCCCCCGTCGTGCCTTTGTTGTTCTTCCTCTTTTCCTTGTGCTTCCTCTCCCTACTATGGAGAATATCGAGACGAGAGAATCGCTACTTGTCCTTGGCGAGAGGCCCTGCTACATTGTTGCATCCCTGCTGCTTCCTGCCCGATAGGAACGATTCCACGCACCCCTTCCTGAATTTGCACTTCCGGCCTTGCCCGATGCTAAGCGGCAGTGAGGGCGCCACTGGAACCGCGGCAACGGCGCTCACAGCCACGGCCGCTGCCCAAGCGGGAGATCGCGGATCGATCTTGACGGATTCCAAGGCGGGCGGATGAGCGCTGCGGGAATTTGACCGCGCGGAGCACCAATGCGGCCGGCTTACATCCGATGCCGCGTGAAATTCGCGATAAGTGACCCCGATCTGAGCTCCCGATCGACGATCTAGCTAGCCTAGCGCCTCTCCTCTCCAATCGCTCCGAGGACGCACAGACACACAATCACGGACACCCAAATCCCTAGGTTGCTGCCAGCCGTTGATAGCATGCCCGGTTATCTAATGGCCACGATAACAGCACTCCCCGTGGCCGTCCAATTTACAACGTACGGTCGCGATGCAAAGGCGGCCGTCCACGTGTCCTTTTTGCCACGTTGGATTTCCGGACGTTGCGTAACACACCATGTGTCCTTGGAGATTTGACTTTCTCCAAAAACCCAAAAACTCTCTCTCGCGTCCCTCGCTCTCACGAAGAAATACGCAAACAAAAACACGTCTTTTTTTACATTTTCATGTTCTGGGTCATGATCTTGGCGAAGTTTCGTAAGCTAGATAATTGCCAGCAAGGAGTTTGCTGCGTGATCACTACTGGATGATGCGTGTCCCACATTGTCCGATTCGTGAATGCTGCGCTGCGCAAATTCCCTGTAGTGATTGCCGCAAAGCTAGCTTCCACGAGGAGCTGGAAAAAAAAAGAGAAGCGTTTGATTGATCACGCGAGCTTCTGGATGAAACTTTTGGAAATGGAATGGAAAGTTTTACGTACCTTGCGGCTTGGTCGTGGTGGTGGCTTTGGGATCCTCTTCGCTCTTGGGTGTTTTCTTCTCCGTGGAAGCTCCCCTGTTCTTGAGCTCCGGGATGCCCAGCTCCTCCGCGAGATCGCCCTTGACGCTCTCGTGGAAAGGATCCATGCCTTCCTCGCTGGCGGCGTGGCCGAACCCCTCCTCGACTGACCTCGTCGCGTACTTGTCCCCGTACGCTTCAAACATAAACTCCCGGCTGCGAAAGAAAGGAATTTTTTTTTTTTTTACGATGATCAGCGAAGTTCTCATCACGAGGAAATAAATGCTTCGCTCATTAAAATCTTTGGCCTAAAAGCTCTCACGGGAAGAATGCACGATCACGGAATGCCTATCGAAATTTCGAGAAATGCCAGTACCTGGATTTGGCGCCTTCTTTCCCGGCCTCCAGCGGCTGCTGGTTAGATGGATTCACAGGCTGATGGAGATTGTGCTCCTTCTTCGTGCCCTCCCGCTGATCCATCGCCTTGCAGCAAACGAAGCTCCGGCCGCGCGAAGGAGGAGGAGGAGGAGCAAGAAAGATGAGCGGCGATGGAGGACGATAGATCGACGCCGCTACCGCCGAGCCGAAGACCTGCTGGCGAAGAAATGAGGCTGAGAAGGGCAACATCGTGTTCTTCCCTCGATTGGGTTAGGGCTTACCTTGTATCGACGCGTGGCCTCCTGCATGGCCAACACGTGTCATGGAGAAGATTCTGGGGTATATGCTGCTAGGGTTTTGGTAGGGTTTGCGGGAAATGGCGTCCCGAGAGGAGTATGATCTTCCGTGGGTGGAGAAGTATCGCCCGCAGAAGCTCGCGGATGTGGTTGGGAACCAGGATGCGATCGGGAGGCTCCAGGTGATTGCTCGCGATGGCAACATGCCCAACCTCATCTTCTCGGTCAGTGAAATGCGATCCCGATTGAAATGCTCGATTCTCAATCGCGTTTTGTGTGTGTCAAGGGTCCTCCCGGGATTGGGAAGACGACGTGCATTATGGCGATGGCTCACGAGATGCTGGGCGCTTTAGCCAAAGAAGCGGTGCTTGAGCTCAATGCCTCGGACGACAGGTTAGTGTTCTTCTCTTGTTCCAAAGTTTTTCCATTCTTTTTTCAAAGTTCTTCCATTCTTTTCCAAAGTTCTTCTATTCTTTTTTCAATGTTCTTCCATTCTTTTTCCAAAGTTCTTCCATTCTTTTTCCAAAGTTCTTCCATTCTTTTTCCAAAGTTCTTCCATCCCTTCCTTTGTTCGTGCTTTGCATTGATCGAGGGAGCGTGATTGATCCTTTTTTTTTTTTCTTTCAGAGGGATCGACGTTGTGCGAAACAAGATCAAAATGTTCGCTCAGAAGAAACTCACGCTTCCGCGTGGTCGTCACAAGGTCGTCATCCTGGACGAAGCCGACAGGTTTTTACCGATCGGAAGAAAAATCATCTTTCCTGTGACGAGATCATTCTGAACTCCATTCTTCACGTGTTGTGGCAGTATGACTTCTGGTGCTCAACAAGCTCTCCGACGAACCATGGAGATTTATTCCTCCAGCACCCGCTTTGGCCTGGCGTGTAACCTGTCGTCCCAGATCATCGAGCCCATCCAGAGCCGCTGCGCTATCGTGAGATTCACGAGGCTCTCTGAGCAGGACATTCTCGCGCGGCTTCTCAAGGTCGCTGCCGCCGAGAAGGTACTCTTGGAACTTTAAAAACCATTTTTTCTAGATCTTCTTGCAATCTTGTTCTCCAGGTCCCCTATGTTCCGGAAGGCCTGGAAGCGGTGGTTTTCACCGCCGACGGTGACATGCGCCAAGCTCTCAACAATCTGCAAGCTACGTATAGCGGTTTCCAGTTTGTTAATCGAGAGAATGTGTTCAAGGTAAGGAAACCAGTCTCTTCTATTTTTTATGTTTAGAGTTTCCATATGTTTGTTTTGCAGGTCTGTGATCAACCACATCCCTTGCTTGTGTCGACTATGATCCAGAATACACTGGCTGGAAAGATCGATGAAGCGTACCTGGGGATGAAGCAGCTGTATGATCTTGGTTACTCGGCCTCGGACATCATCACAACGCTGTTTAGAGTCGTGAAGAACTTTGACATGCCGGAGTTCCTCAAGCTGGAATATATCAAGGTCGGTATCACGGAGTTGATGAGAAACTTTACGATAATCAAATTCTCTTGTATTGCAGGAAGTAGGCTTTGCGCATATGAGGATCGCAGAGGGTGTAGGCTCGCTGCTGCAGCTAACAGGACTCTTGGCGAAGCTTTGCTTGCTCAGGGAGAAAGCGAAAGCGTGAAAGCGTCGAGTCGTAGAACACGAAAACTGTTACCTCCTTACATCGCTGCGCCTGCTTCCTTGAGAGCTTTGGCGTGCTTGAGTATGGCCGAGGCCGCAGTTTCGTTTGCCGCGGAAGACAAAGCTCCTTCTCCAGACTCTTTTTTGGGAGGAGTATCCACCAGCCTCTCCAATGCCTCGAGTTGATCGTATGGTGCAACCTGCGTAACAATGTTTAACACTTGTGCTAACTTCTTTTTCATGTAAATCGTTACCTGATTGAATCCATCGGGCCAGCTTATCATCACGGCATAATTTCCCAGAGGCTGAATGGCCTCGGGTTCGATGTCTTCGCGCACGTCTCCATAGCGTAGCTTTTGTTCGCCTGTCCATTCGTCCTGCTCAGAAAAGCATAAGATTCTCCGAAGTCTATTTCTAGGTAGACTTACTATGCTTTTCGCGGACCGATCATTTCGACGAACAGTTGCTGGATGCAAATAAAATGGTTCTTCTGTTCCGGGGACTTTGACTTTGATTGCCCGCATTGCGTCGTCATAAGTTACTGCTGTGGACACTTGCTGGCGTATTTTGGCACACTGTTGAACCACACACACTCCCAGCTCGGAAAAGGACCTTGCAACGTCGCCTTGAGGGTCATGGACGACTTCCGGAGTACCACTATCTCCTGCTGCAGAGAGCTGGGACAAAACAGAAAGAGTAAGTAAAGGCAACTACTGCTTTGTACAGTCTTGCCTCTGGTCTAATGGGAAATTCGAACAAGTTGGAGATGCCAAATTGTTGGACCACCTACAGAATCAAATATCAGGCTGCATCTTCAAAGGCTAAAAAGGTGTCACCTGTTTTCCCGAGCCCCTGCCGAAAGGGTAGTACCTCTTGCCATCTGCATCGAAGTAGCACATATTCTCCACCACGGCCAAGCACGGGACCTAGCATTCGGAAAAGATGCTAAAGACTATACTGAAGAAAGTCAAAAAACGCTACCTTAAGCTTTGAAAACATTCGCACTCCTTTGGCAACGTCAATGAATGCAAGCTTCTGTGGCGTCGTAACTATAACAGCTGCTGTCAAAGGCACAACCTGCCGAAAAGCTAACAAAGATTAGTATGCCAAAAGCTAGTCGAAGATAGTAACCTGGCAGAGTGTAAGCTGAATGTCTCCTGTTCCAGGCGGCATGTCAATTATCAGATAATCCAGCTCTCCCCTGAAAATCAACTCTGAATTATGCCTGTTCCTCAGAGCACGCATGAAACATACCAATCGGTAGTTGTGAGGAGCTGGTTAATGACTCCAGAAACCATTGGCCCCCTCATAATTGCTGTACCCTGTCCAGCGAAACCGAATGATACTAGTTTGACTCCAAGGTATTCGGTCGGTATTATCTGTTTGGTGTCTTCGACCTATAGCAACAGAAACTTCAATGAAATCCCTTGGAAGTAAATGAAATGAAGAAAGTGATGAAGACTTACTACCTCACCATTTGCAACACCCGCAGCTCTGGAGACACCATTGTCGGCAAGCTTGGCCCATAAACATCAGCGTCGAAAATTCCAACTTTGGCTCCCATTCCCGCCAGGGAGTACGCAAGATTTACCGCAACTGTGGACTTGCCGACGCCTCCCTGAGTAAATGGCATTGACAAAGTCCTCGAACAGTAGAACGGGAGATGGATACCTTGCAGCTGGAAACTGCGATGATGTTGGAGACGTTTTGGAGACTTCGTGGGAGGCCCTCGGCAGCGAGAGCCTTTGCTGGTTGTGCGCTCATGGTGACTTTCACATTGGTGACCCACGGGAGAGCGGCGACCTTCTCTTTCGCTTGCTGCTCAAACTGTATGCAAAGAGCTGCAAGATGTTTAGCTGACTAGATGGTGAATAAAGCAGCAAAATTACCATGTCCTTGACAGGGCAGGCCGGCGTTGTGAGCTCAAGTCGGAAGGCGACCTGGTTGCGTTATGATAGAAGAAAACAAAGTCGTTGCTGTCACGAGAGTTTTTGGGAGCAAACCAAGAACTCACCAACCTCACCAGAAGATTTGTCCGCTTGCAAGTCTTTCACAAATCCACAGGTTACAATGTCTGCGCCAAAGTCGGGATCGATGATGGTGGAGAGCGCAACAAGAACGTCATGGCCGCCATTCGTTGCAACCTCTACGAAGAAAAAAAAAAGGACTCAAGCGTCACGAATCTGAGATTCGAGCTCATACCTGTACTGGAGATCGTACTGCGGCATGCGAAAGAATCCGCAGAACCTCGCTTTCGTCCAATGGAGAGACACAAAGTCTCTTTCTCGACTTTAAATTTGATGCAAGAAGAAGAGGATGGAAGTCTCATCAAACGAAGATTGCGCTCGCTAGCTCGGCTGGTGAGTTTGGTAAGAAGATGAGCAGCTGTTCACGACATGACAGCATTGTTAGAGAAAGAATCCATTCGATCGAACTCTCGAAGAATGAAATCCAGACAATGCTCGACTAGATAGCTCTAGAGGAATGCACAAAATCACAAGAACACACTCACCGAATCCAATCGCCGGAGCGCAAGAGCTCGACGCCATACCGCGATGCTCCTGCCCTAGCATAAACCCCTTGCTGGAGAATTTGTATGGCGCAGAGGCGGTCTATCCAAACCGGACACGTGTCGACATCCCAGCGGTTGAGAATCCGTGAACGTTGCCGAGTCAGCCCTAAATATCGCCGCCGTTGAAGCGTTACGAGATCGCCGCCGTCCACGTGTACCCGTCAGGTGACGGGCATGACGGGCGCTGGCATATTTCTCGAGCAGGAGTAGGGGTTATTACAGGGCTGTGCGCAATCAACGCAGCGGAGGGCGCTCGCCACGGCGCCTCCTCAGCTATGGTGGACGAATGTCACCACACTCGCCGCGAAATCCACTCCTCCAGGGCCAGCGGCGTCGCCAATCCGCAGCTCCACGGCTCGTAGCGGGAATGGTGGATTTCGGGGCTTTGACGGCGCAGCTGGATGGAGCAATGCAGCTATGCTGATGAGAAGAATGGAGGCGCCGGGTAGCATGCAGTGAAGCTCTCCCAGAGATTGAAAGGTATGGCTCGGTTTGATCCAGTAGAGGCGTAGATCAGGCAATCCTAGTGCTTCCATACTCCTGATGTTCTTGGATCTTCACACGCTTTCCTTCTCTGTTTTTATTTTTCTTTTTTCTGTCAAAATTTTTCTGTAGTAAGGTGTTTACATTCGCAGGCGATGGCTTGCGATGTAAAGTCCCCCCCGGTGCAGAGCTTGAGGATTTCTCCGACACTCTCGGGGATGGAAGATCCGGACGGAGTTCTCGCCAGCGTTGCCCAATGCATCGAGCAGCTCCGGACGACTTCCACGACTCCCCAAGACAAGGAATCGGTCTCCAGGAAGCTCTACGCTCTTGCGGACTCTCGGGAAGACGCACGAGTCGCCGTGAGCTCTCACGCGCAGGCGATCCCGCTCTTGGTGACGTTGCTCAGATCGGGAACTGTGGCGGCTAAGATCAACGCAGCAGCCACTCTGGGAGTTCTTTGCAGAGAAGAGGACCTGCGAGTCAAGGTACTGCTCGGTGGATGCATACCACCTTTGCTCTCGCTGCTCAGGCTCGGGTCCGCGGATGCTCAAACAGCGGCAGCAGTGGCCATCAACGCAGTGACGCGAGGGGGAATCAGAGATCATGTTGGGTCACGGATCTTCTCCACGGAAGGTGTGGTGCCGAGTCTGTGGCAGCAGCTGCAATCTTCGCCAAAACTGGATTCGGCAGTATATGGTCTTCTCACAGGTGCCTTGAGGAATCTATGCAACAGCACAGACGGGTTTTGGTCAGCCACCTTACAGGCAGGAGGTGTGGGCATTTTGGTGGACCTGTTGCAAACGGGACGTCCGGATGCTCAGGCAAATGCTTGCTCGCTCCTGGCGTGCTTGATGACAGCTGCCGAGTCCAGCCGCTCACTAGCGCTGAACGCTGGCGTGGTGCCGCCACTGCTCAAGCTCCTGGCACCTGGGAATGAAGTGTCAGTTCGAGCGGAAGCAGCCGGAGCACTTCGAGCAGTGTCGCTCGAGCACAGGGACGCAAGCCAGGCGATTGCAAGCGCAGGGGGGATCACTAAGTTGATTGCCGCAACGGTGGCACCATCTAAAGAGTTCATGCAAGGGGAATACGCTCAAGCTCTGCAGGACAATGCTATGGGTGCTCTTGCAAATATATCCGGGGGGATGTCAGCTGTGATCTTGAGTCTCGCCAAGGCCGTGGAGGCTTCGCAGTCGGATTCTCAATCGGCTGACACGATTGGAGCTCTTGCTTATGCGCTTATGGTGGTTGACGGGAAATCAGAGAATGCAGAGACCGTCAACCCAACGATTATAGAGCGGATTCTGGTAAAGCAGCTCGACACTAAAAAGGCCGTCCTAGTTCAAGAACGTGTGATTGAGGCGATGGCTAGCCTCTACGGGAACGCATTTTTGGGTCAGCGATTACAGCACGCCGATGCAAAGAAGATGATGGTTGGTTTGGTTACCTTGGCCAACACTGACATTCAGGAGGAACTTATGACGTCTCTTAGGAAGCTGTGCGGTGGTAAAGAGGATTTGTGGCGATCACTTCGGGGCCGAGAGGGAGTGCAGCTACTTATATCGTTACTCGGCCTTTCGTCAGAGCAGCAGCAAGAATATGCAGTTTCGCTGCTTTCCATCATGTGCGAGGAGATTGACGAAAGCAAGTGGGCCATCACTGCTGCTGGTGGCATACCTCCGTTGGTACAGCTTCTCGAAACGGGTTCTACGAAAGCTAAGGAGGACTCGGCTGCTGTGCTTGGAAATCTCTGCAGTCACAGTGAGGAAATTCGTGCATGCGTGGAAACGGCGGACGCGGTGCCTGCACTGCTTTGGCTTCTCAAAAATGCTGGTCTTAAAGGACAGGATATCGCAGCACAAACTCTTACGCAGCTGGTTCGAGACTCCGATGCAAGCACAATCAGTCAACTTAGTGCCATGCTGACAGGGGATCTGCCCGAGTCGAAGGTTTATGTCCTGGATGTGGTCGGCTGTTTGCTCTCGGTTGCCTCTGAGAACGATATCCTTCGGCATGAGGCAGCGGCAAACGACGCCCTGCAGACTGTTATCCGTCTGTTAACTTCGGGCAAAACGGATGCGCAGGGCCGTGCTGCTTCCGTCTTGGCGAACGTCTTTAACTTGAGGAAGGACATGAGGGAGAGCCAGGTCGTTGCGGAGAGCATTGGACCGTTGATTCATCTTGTGAAAGACGGACCAGAGGCGACTGCGATGCAGGCTGCAAAAGCACTTGCTGCACTTTTCCGTTCGGTTGAAGCAAACTACTGGATATCCAACGCTGCGAAGCATGCCATCCTGCCGTTGATATCGCTCGCAAAGTCTTCGAACAACGAAATAACTGAGGTCGCGATTACGGGACTGGCTTATCTTCTACAAAAGACTGAAGTAGCCGTGGAGGCTCCAGCGGAGGAAATTATTCTACCTCTCACCAGAGTTTTACATGAAGGCTCTCCAGTAGGGAAGGAGAATGCAGCAAGAGCTTTGGTGCAGCTTCTGAATGCTTGTCCAGTGGATGATGCGTTTGCTGATCGCATCCACGAGTGCGGGACGGTTCTTGCACTCGCGGCGACTGGCTTTGAAGTGGCTGTTTCGTCTCAAGCACTCGAGGCACTGGCTTTACTAGCTAGAGCAAAGCGCGGAGGCACTTCTGGCCGCCCTCCATGGGCTGTTCTCTCCGAAGTTCCCGAGAGTATCAGTCCCCTCGTCACTTGTCTCGCTAGCGCAGTACCGGAGTTTACAGAGAAGGCAATCAAGGTCCTGTCAAGGCTCTGTCGTGACCAGCCCGTCGTCTTGGGAGACATGATTGCAGGCACGTCTACCTGCGTCAGAGCACTGGCAGACCGGGTGGTAAACTCCTCCAGTTTAGAAGTACGAGTTGGCGCAACCTCTCTTTTGATTTGTGCCGGCAAAGGACACCGAGAGGACGTCATAGACGTCTTGGATGAAGACAACAGCACTCTTTCTCTCGTTCACGCACTCGTGGAGATGCTGTTACTGAACTCACCTGAAGACAACTTGAGCAGTGGGGATTTCGACAACGCAGAAACTCGGTCGAGTGTTCAAGCAGGGCAGCACGAGTGTGATCCAGCTGCTGCACTCGGCGCTACTGTCGCTCTGTGGCTGCTTGCTCTAGTAGCATCGCATGATAACAAGCACAAGGTAGCAATCATGGAAGCGGGTGTCATCGATGTTCTCACCGAGAAACTTGCGAACTTTGTTCCAAATGCACGTCAGGTAATTTATCTCTTATGTTTATTGGTTGCTCAACTGACTTGTGTTTCCCTTTGCAGGCGGAGGTTGAGAATATTGGAAGCACCTGGGTGAGTGCTTTATTACTAGCTATATTGTTCCAAGATCGAGAGGTTACTCGTTCTCCGGCAACAATGCGTGCTGTTCCGTTCCTTGCCATCCTTCTAAAGTCCGAAGAAGCCACCGACCGGTACTTTGCTGCTCAAGCTCTTGCCAGCCTCGTATGCAATGGTAGTCGGGGAACAGTTCTGGTGGTAGCTAATTCTGGAGCGGTTAGCGGCCTTATACCGCTTCTTGGCAGTGTGGAAGCTGATATCTCCAACTTGGTTACCTTGTCAGAGGAGTTTTCTCTCGTAAGCAATCCTGACCAGGTTGCTTTGGAGAGACTATTCAGGGTGGATGACGTAAAGTATGGTGCGACTGCTCGGAAAGCCATTCCTGGTTTGGTGGATCTTCTCAAGCCGATAGCAGACCGACCTGGTGCTCCTCCACTGGCCTTGGGTTTGCTGACGCAGCTCGCAAGCGGAAACAATTCAAACAAGCTGGCAATGGCAGAAGCCGGAGCACTTGATGCACTGACGAAGTATTTGTCTCTCGGCCCTCAAGACACCTACGAGGAGGCTGCTGCTGAGCTACTTAGGATTCTTTTTACTTGCCCCGACCTTCGACGTCACGAGTCTGCTCCTGGTGCTGTTGATCAGTTGGTGGCTGTTTTACGACTTGGCACACGGAGTGCCAGGTTCACTGCTGCCAGGGCCCTGCAAGGTTTATTTTCTTCGGACAACATCAAGGCCTCCGACGTAGCTGGTCAAGCTATTCAGCCGCTAGTCGAGATGTTACAGTCGGGTGCAGAAAGGGAGCAGCAAGCTGCAGTTGGTGCTCTGATGAAGCTATCAGCAGACAATCCTCCGAAGGCTCTTGCTATAGCAGATGCGGAACCAAATGCACTGGAAAGCTTGTGCAAAATTCTCTCTACGAATTGCACTCTGGAGCTCAAGGAGGAGATCGCCGAACTCTGCCGGGTTCTCTTTTCAAGCTCCCGTGTTCGGGCGACACCAGCTGCTACAAGCTGCATTGAACCTTTGGTGACACTTCTCTGTTCTGAGAGCGACACTGCGCATTACGCCGGTGCTCGAGCTCTGGACAACCTCCTCGATGATGAGCAGCAAGCAGAAGCAGTAGCTGCCTATGGTGCGGTGGTTCCATTGGTGGGAATGATGGTCGGTGCCAATTATAACGTACACGAGGCTGCAGTCAGCTGCTTGATCAAGCTGGGGAAAGACAGGCCTCTCTGCAAGCTGGACATGGTGAAAGCCGGGGTCATTGACAACGTTCTCGAGAGCTTGTTCGCGGCTCCGGATTCTCTATGCTCGTTGAACGCGGAGCTCTTGAGAATTCTGACAAACAACAGCAGCATTGCAAAAGGAGCGTCGGCATCAAAGGCAGTTGAACCTTTATTCCTGTCGCTGAGTCGGCCTGAGCTGAGCACCTCCGGGCAGCACAGTGCAATGCAGGTGCTCGTCAACATTCTGGAGAAACCACAACGTGTGGCAAATTTGAACCTGTCTCCCAATCAAGCGGTGGAGCCTCTTGTGCTACTTTTGGACTCGGTATCACAGCCCGTGCAACAACTCGCTGCGGAGCTGCTCTCGCTACTGCTTGCCGAGGAACACTTTCAGAAGGATATCGTGACGCAGCTGGCCGTTGCGCCACTGGTGAAGCTTGTTGGAGCTGCAGTGCAGGGACTGCAGCAGAAGGCACTCAAGGCACTGGAGTGGGCTTCAAACAGCTGGCCAAATGCTGTTGCGGACGCAGGTGGAATCGCGGAGATTTCCAAGGTTATTTTACAGGTTGATCCTCTGCCGCCCCATGCTCTGTGGGAGTCTGCAGCTTCGGTTCTCTCCAACATACTGCGGTTCAGCTCTCAGTACTTTTTACAAGTTCCAGTTGCGGTGCTGGTCAAGCTGCTGCGTTCTATCTCGGAGGCTACCGTCGTCGTGTCACTGAGCGCACTCTTGGTCATCGAGAGGGATGACGCATCGAGCGCTGAGGTAATGGCGGAAAGCGGGGCTGTCGAAGCTCTGCTAGAACTTCTGCGCTGCCACCAGTGCGAGGAAGCGACAGCACGGCTTTTAGAAGCACTTTTCAACAATGTGAAGGTCCGTGACATGAAGGTCTGCAAGCTGGCGATCGCTCCGTTGTCGCAGTACCTTCTGGATCCTCAAACCAGGATTCAACCGGCGAAACTGCTAGCAGCCTTGGCTCTGGGGGATATATTCCAGAACGAAGGCCTTTCACGAACGACAGACGCCGTCTCGGCATGTCGTGCTTTAGTCAGCTTGCTGGAGGATCAACCGACCGAAGAGATGAAGATGGTAGCTGTCTGTGCTCTGCAGAACCTGGTCGTAAACAGTCGCTCGAACAAGCGTGCTGTTGCCGAAGCTGGAGGTATCCAGGTTGTGCAGGAGTTGCTCTCCTCTAGCAACTTGGAGATTGCTGCACAGTCGGCTGCTTTGCTGCGATTATTGTTTTCGAATCACACCATCCAGGAGTACGCGTCAAGCGAAATCATCCAAATACTTTCAGGTAATGGTCACCCTTTCACGTTTTCGGTATATAGCTAATTTCTGTTTTCGGCTGCAGCAACTATAGAAAAAGATTTGTGGTCCACCGCGTCGGTGAGTGAGGACGCGTTGAGGGCCATGGACGTGCTTTTCCTCAACTTTCCCAGGCTCCGGGGCACGGAAGAGGCGACGCTTTGCATCCCTCAGCTCGTTGCGGCACTCAAAGCTTCTAGCTCGGAAGCGGCTCAGGAGGCTGCACTGGATTGCCTTTATCTGCTAAGGCAAGCCTGGTCGTCAAGTCCCGCGGAGGTTGGCAGAGCGCAGTCGTCAGCAATGGCGGAGGCAATCCCGGTATTGCAACTTATGATGAGGTCGGGGCCCCAGCATCTGCACGAGAGGGTGGACAGCCTCCTGCAATGCCTACCGGGAAGTTTGGTTGTTACTATCAAGCGTGGTATGAACTTGAAGCAATCGATGGGCAGCACGAATGCTTTTTGCAAGCTCACCTTGGGAAATGGCCCTCCTCGGCAGACAAGGGTGAATTCCAGTTCTCTCTTCTTGAGGTTCTTATACGTTTCTATCGCATGATTGCAGGTTGTGTCGCACAGCACTACCCCGGAGTGGAAGCAAGGCTTTGCATGGGCTTTTGACACGCCTCCAAAAGGACAGAAGCTACATATTTCCTGCAAAAGCAAGAATGCATTTGGAAAGGTTTTGAAACTTCTCAGTAGCCTCTCTGTCGCTGATGTTTGCTTTTGGTTGACAGGGCTCGCTAGGAAAAGTAACAATTCAAATCGATAGAGTAGTGATGGTTGGCACCATAAGTGGCGAATATCAGCTGAAACCGGACATGAACCGAGATGGTTCTGCACGAGTATTGGAGATTGAGTTCCAGTGGTCTAACAGGTAACCCGAGAAGGTATCTTCTTCCAAGTTTTTGTTCCTTTTTTTCTTTTTTCTTTCTTTCTTTCTTCCTGTCTTTCTCTCTTTTCTTTCGTCCCCATTCACATAACCCCAGAGGAGAAGTAGCAAAGCAGGTGGCTTGGCTTGGATTTACTCCTGTATATGTTGTAGGCATTCTTAAGATTTGTAGTCCTTCGCTTGGGACGATGGTATTCATCGTCCCTTACTTGCTCCTGGCTGGCTTGCTTACATAGCTGGCTGCTGAAATGTGTAAAGTGGTGGTGTTGCTGCTGGAAAATAGGAAATTTTTGTTGTTTTTTAGGAAGGACAAGCGAGTCGGCTGAGTTTTCCTTGTGTGCTTTTGTTTGTTTCGTGTGATTATTGCTTTGTTATTATTGAGCTATCATGATCTCCATCAAACCAAAAGGTTAGTTCTCTGGTTCTTGCTGGTCAAAGCCATTTGAATCAGGGTTTGTGTTTCATAGGTGGGAGCAAAAACTAAAGAGCCGACTTGTCGGCTGGCAAGCGGATCGGACAAAGCCTGTGCATCGACTGGTTATATTGCCTTCGCAGGTTTGGTTGTTTTTCTTTCTTTTTTTTTCTTCTCGGTTTGTTATCAAAAAGGAGTTTTTTTCCCCTTTTTCTCTGGCACAGTCTCCGCTGTGTAGGTGGTTTGGAGAAACATGGCGCCGGGAGGAATGCCCAATTATACCAAGCTCAGCAACGGAGGTAATGCGGGCTCGTATGCAATCCCACCGTCGCCGCCGGCCGATCACAGCAAGGTCCGATCTTCTCATCACACTCTCTTTGAGATGCTGAGCAGTGATCAAGGCTCGTCCTCGTCTCTGGAACAGCCCCAGTTGTCTACTGCTGCTCAGCACTTCCAGCAAGTCCTTGGGAATCCTCTTCTCCCCCCTCTCGCTCCGCCTTCGATGTCTCTCATCTCCGTGGTGGATCAACAGCAGCAGCAGCAGCAGCAAATGATCAGGCAACAGCCGCCACAGCAGCCGCAAAATCACTCTTTTCCCATTCGAAGCAACGCCGGCGCACAGCAGCAGGCTTTAATGCTCGCCCAACAGCAGCAGCAAGAGAGCAGCAAACAGGAATCTCTGCAAGAACGGGTCAATGCGATTCTCAGTTGTCCGCTCAACACTTTCAACGACGCATCCACCAGCGATGTCAAGCTCACACTCATCAGTCGGGACGTAGTCGGGGGCCTCACAGTCACTGTCCATGTCCACACGCGGGTTCTCGTTGCCTCGAGCAGGTATTTTGCCGCTAAGCTTGCTTACAGGCAGCAGCAAGTCCACACTGCGGCCCCCTATTCCGTCGAGATCTCCGACTGCGAGGACGTCGAGATTTATCTCCTCACTATCCGGCTTATGTACTCGTCCGACTTCAAAAGGATGCTACTCCACGAGAACGTACAAAGAGTGCTCGCCATTCTCAAGGTTCGTCTTTTCCTTGTTGTCCAATTCTTTTTTGTGTTTGTCTGTCGATTGATTTCATGCGGTGTTTCCTGTGGCTGCCTTGTCCTCGTGCATGGCTTAGCTTTTGTGTGCTGTTATCTATATTCTGGAGATCGTGTTTGATGCCCACATGTTCTTGCTTGATAAGAAAACTGGCTAAATTCTGTGAGGTGCGACAGGTTGCATCTGCCATCGTTTTCGAGGCGGCCATTGTAGCAAGTCTGGAGTATTTGGAAGCAGTGCCGTGGTGCGAGGACGAGGAGGAAAAGATCTTCTGTCTCGTCTCGCAATTACAAAACGACTATCCCTCGGTCGCCGGTAGCGTCCTCGGCAGGCTCGTAAGGCCTGCAAGGCCGTCCGTGTTGGCTCTCCCGCCACCGATCTGTCCTTCACAAAGGAGCAGTGACAACGACTTCTCGCTACTCCAGCCGGAGGAGGTACTGGTAAAGCTGGTGCGCTGCGTCATCAAAGCTACCGATGAGAAAGCCCGGCGGGAGATGAAACCACTCGTCTCGAGGCTCTTGCGAGAGAACACAGCAGCACTAGCAAGCAACAAAAGCTCCACGGCAGGCCTCAACACCACCGCCACCACCACAGTGATCGACGTGAGCAAAGAGTCGCTCTACGACGCATGCAAGGAGTGCCTCCAGGAGCTGTCGGACGCCTTCTCTCGGCTGACCGAGCAGCAGCAGCAGCCAGCATCGTCTGCTCAAGCTCCGAGCCTGGTTTCAGCGGCCATTGCCCGTCACGTCGACAACATCCAGTGGCTGGCGGAGCTGCTCATCGACCGAGGCGTCGCGGAGGAGCTGGTTCACATCTGGTCCCGCGAGAGTCAGTTGGCCGCGATGCACAGGCTACTCCCGGCGATGCAGCGGCACGAAGTGAGCCGGATCACCGCGAGGCTGTGCGTTGGCATCGGCCGGGGGCAGATAATGGCTCCACAGCAGGTCCGCGCGCTGCTCCTCGCGACTTGGCTGGAGCCGCTCATGGACGACTTCTCGTGGATGCAAAGGCTGGCCTCCAAGATGACTTGTTCCAGCCTCTGCTACGCCGGTGGCAATGGTGGTGGGTTTCTGGTCTTGGATAAGAAGACCGTGGAGGAGGGGCTGTGCCAGACGATTCTCACACTCTCGCTCGAGGAGCAGCGCTCCATCCTCATGTCGTGGTTCGAGAAATTCTCCCGGGATGGTGACAATTGTCCGAATTTGCAGCGCGCTTTCGAGGTGTGGTGGAGGAGAACTTTTGCTTCGGGCATTGGGCGACAGCCGCAATGAAAGTGTTGTTACATGTGCTTGACATAGTCTCCAAAGTTTTTTTTTTTGCTTTTCTATTTTGTTTTCTTACTGTCCATAGCTAAAGAAGCATAAGAGCCTCGGAAAATATAGGATCTTTAAGCTTGAGAGAGTATAAACTCTCCTAGGATTTTCACAACCATGGCTGTGATATTTGGTGTATGCTTTGCTAGTTCCATCTTTCTCTTGGTTGTGTGGAGGATCTTGTCTTCCAAGTTGAATTGCCTTCCACCGGGGCCATGTGGTCTGCCTCTGATCGGCCATCTCCACATGCTACGAGGAATGCCGCCTTACAAGGCACTAGAATCTCTATCACGGAAGTATGGTCCTATTATGTCCTTGAGGCTGGGAATGATCCCCGCTGTTGTCATCTCGAGCAAAGACTTGGCAAGAGAGTTCTTCAACGCACACGATGCAAACTTCTCCAACCGGCCATACATGATCATTGGAGACCCTCGCTATGGCTTTGTGAGCCTGGCAACTTCTCCGTATATTGGGCGGCACTGGAAGAACATTAGCAAGCTCTACACCAGGATGCTCTTCACGGCCAAGTGTATCGATTCCTTCTCCTGGGTGAGGAGTGACGAGCTCTCTCATGTCCTTGATTTTGTCTTGAAGTCCAGTGACAGGAGCATCGCCGTTGACGTGAGAGTTCTATCGTCGACATTTTTGTTCAATATCATGTCCCGGATTCTGATGAGCAAGAGGTACTTTGGCCACGGTGGGGCTCCTGATTCTGGCGTGGATGAAGACGCGGTGGAGTTCAAGCAAGTGACCCAGGAAGTTATGAGCTTGATCTTGAAACCTTGTGTGAGTAACTTTGTCCCGAGCTACCTGAGGTGGCTCGACTGGCAGATCCCTCGCTACAAGCAAGTCCGTGCCAAGCAGGACAAGTTCATGCAAAAGGTTGTGGACGAGCACAAGAAGACGACGAGAGAGTCCAAGGACCTCGTGGACATGGCGCTCGAGTCCTTTCGAGGAGATGCACAAGCCGAGCTCTACACTAAAGCCAGCTTGTTGGTAAGAACACCTTTCTTCTTGGATAATCGTCCATATGCGATAAACTTTCAGGAAACCCTTTTGGGTGGAACTGAGACAACTGGCGTCACTTGCGAATGGATCATGGCGGCAGTGATGCACAATCCGCAGGTCTTAACAAACCTCCAGGAAGAGCTCCAAAGAGTTGTGGGAAGCACACGAATGGCTCGAGAATCGGACATCTCGAAGCTGGAGTATCTTCAGGCCGTCATCAAGGAAACGTTCCGGCGGTATCCTCCAGCAACACTCCTCATGCCACGCACCGCCCACAAGGCAACCACGATTGGAGGCTATCACATCCCAAAGGGCACCACCTTGCTCGTAAACTCGTGGGCGATTGGGATGGATCCGGCAGTGTGGGAGGATCCCACCCAGTTCCTCCCCGATCGTTTCCTCGGGATCCCTATCGATATCAAAGGCCATGACTTCGAGCTCATCCCGTTTGGATCCGGTCGACGAAAATGCCCGGGAATGGCATTGGGATTGCGAGCAGTGGAGCTGCTCGTGGCAAATCTCATCCATGGCTTTCACTGGAGCTTCGTTCCTGGGATGACATTGTCCATGGAGGATGAGTGTCACAGCGTCTCTCAGCTAAAGATTCCATTGCAAGCAATAGCCGTGCCAAGGCTACCAAAGGAAGTATATGCTAACATATAATTATTTCGAAGATTCTTAGAATATTCAAGTGGGGCACCATTAAATTAAAGGATTTTAACCTGATTTTAAAATTTTAATTAGTCATTTTTGGTAATAAGAACTTTTAATCAGGTCCCATTAAATTAGTTAAGTGTTAACACCAGCCATTAATATATACCATTTCTAGCCATTTCTAGAACATGTAGAAGTGCTTTACTTTATGTTCTATGGGTATCAACATTGATTGTCATGGTTGATCCCACAAAACTTAACATCACTGTCCCTCTGGTGCTCGATTTGTAGAGGTGCTGCCCTTTGCCCAACTTGGGTGGTGGCTCTCAAGCACAAAATTTGAGACACGCTCACCATAAACTTCTCTACACAGAAAAAAAAGCGGAAAAACCATTCACTCAATCAAGAAGGGAAGAAAAAGTCTGAACGATGATGCTATTTTGGAATATTCTTAGAATATTCAAGTACATCAAAAACAATTCAGAAAGAACTATTTGTTTTTTTTGGAAATATTAAAAAACATCTTTATCTATTCAATTTTCATTCAGTTGTTAAAATTTCAATTTTATTTCCAACCACAATTACCATATTTAGGTTGAATTGTTGTTAGTATAGCTATTGAAATTATTGAGTAATAATATTCACTCAACTCTTACCAAACATATTTTATCTTGTATTATAAATTCCTAAAAACAAGAAAAACATTTATATCTTTTATTCTTTTAAGTTTATTTATGATAAAATTAAAATAGCTTACTTTCTATTTTAATTTCTTAGATCATACTTAAAAAATTATAGTACTTCTTCATTCTAAAATATTAAAATGATTATGTGTATTTGTTGTCCACCAAACTTTATTAATTTCTTTTTCTTAGTTATAAACATTTTGTATTGTTAGAAATGTGATAATTAAATAATTTTAATTTTTTTTAATAGATTACACTACTTTTTTCTCTTGGTATATAAAACAATGTAACAACATATTGAAAAACAAATACACAGACACCATAATAGTTTACAACAGTATTTAATTTCAATAAGACATTTATTTCTGAATATAAAATAGCTTTATAATTTAATTTTACATTTAATATTTAAAATTGTCACAATAATATCACAACTATTTTTAAAATGATTTCTGACATACTTATTAAATATAATTTTCCTAAAACAGTCAAAAGGTTTAAAAAATACTAAATATTCAATACAGTTCTGTTTTTATTAATTCTACATTTATCAGTATAAAATTAATAATATCATTGATATATATATATATATATATATATATATATATATATATATATATATATATATAATGTCACATAAAATAATATAATGATTTGATTTTCTTTTTCTAACTTATAATTTTCTTTGTATTTCCATTTTCTCTACTTATAACCAGCTATTAAGTTGCTAAAACTTTTCATTTTTCAAACCATGGATTTATGGTTTCAATAATTATTATATTAAAGATTTAGTGTACAATTCACATGGTGATGGGTTAGTTTATCATATTTGAGTGATATATATATGACTCAAAAGTATAAGAAAAAATCTATTTATAACAGATATCTTTAGCTTTTATGAATAAGAATATTTTAGTTTTATTTTAATGTATTTTGAGATAAGGAAGAAGATGATAATATATACTTTTGGAACCTATACTTTATTTTCTATGAGAATTTTGAAATAACTATTAAATCTTTTTTTTTTGGACTTGACATTTATTTTTGTGAAATTTTATTTAATTAACAATACTTTACAATTTCATCATTTTTTTAGTTTAGAATTAGATAGTCTAAATTTACTATAGACAACTATTTAAGCTGAATATAAATAAAATGATATTTTGAATTTTTTTTTGTTTTAATGTTATTTACCCCAATATTAAGTAATTCAACTTGAAAAGAAATAGTTGCTTGAGTATAAAAGAGTCACTTGTGAATTAGATATCTAAATTTTATGGTTTTATATCCTTCATGACAATATCTCCAAATTTCATTTTATAAACTTTTTATATTAATATTATAAATTTCTCTTGCAATTATCAGCTACCAAAATAGAAAATGAACGAGTTTAATTTTTCTTAGTAATAATATAATATTAAAAGTTAATTTTACTCAGTAATAATGCATTGTGTAGAGATAATAAACTGAACCTAAAAATAAATTAATACTTTTGTGTTTGAGGAAGTTATTGTAAAACTATTATTCTATGTGAGTCAGTGTTTCTATTACACTAAATATATTTTAGAATTCTTCTTCAAATGCATTGAAAATAGTTAATTGAATAAGTAAGATTCAAAAACCATAAAGGACTATAAACTTGAAGCATTTGAAATCTCATATTCTACTATTTAATCATTTCTGTTTTGCTGTGTAAAGAATATAGTTAGAATATCCAAAAATATTGAAATATTCACCACTGCTCTTAATAAGCAGGACAAGTTCTTGCAAAAGATTGTCGACCATCAGCACGGGAATGCGAGGACTTCCTTGATATCATGCTCGAGTTCTACGGAGCAAATACCCAGGGAGAAACACACATCAAGGCAAATCTCTTGGTAAGAGTTCTTGCTAGTTTGTGATCGCAATAACTTTCATTCCAGGATGATACTTCTGCCACCACAAGCGAGTGGCTCATTGCCTCGGTGATGTACAATCCTCGGATTTTGATCAAACTCCAGGAAGAGCTTGACAGAGCCGTAGGTGGCAACCGAATGGTCCAAGAATCCGACCTGACATTGGTGAATGCTTGGGCCGTCCACATGGATCAGCAGTAGCGCTTACTACCTAAGACTCCACTGCAAGCCATGCCACTCCAAGACTGGCCATCAGATATTAGCGAACTCGCCTTCTATATCGTTTCTGGATAAGATCTTCGCAAGATAAAGATGCCAATGTCTTCGCTTTGCCACTGCGGGTGGAGCTCCTCGCTTGGAACGCGCGTAAATTCCAATCCGAGCTCCCTAAGCTTGTGGAAGCACTCGGTCGTCCCAATTCGCAGCTCGTAGGCCAGGAGGATCCTTGTGCTCTCGCCCGACAGATCCAGTAGCGTCTTTGCCAGCGCGGGCACCGCCTCAATGTCGTACAGGATATCCGAGCACAGCACGAAATCCACTGGTGCCGCCACCTGCGAGCAATCGGCGCCCCATTCCAGCTCCAACACCCTCACTCTACTCTCTAGTTGATTCGCCTCCACATTGCGGCGCAAGCACGGCAGCAATCCAGCGCGGTCAGTGAGGATCACCTCCGACGCGCCCAGCAGCGCCGCCGCCATTCCTGGCAGCCCCGTTCCTGCTCCCAGCTCCACGACCCTCTTGTCCTTGAAGCCGTGGTGCCCCAGCCCTAGCTCCGCCGATACAGGCGCGATGTCGGCGCCGCCACTCTCGCCTATGGCGGCAATTGAATCCAGCCAGTGCGTTAGGACTAGAGCACAGTCCCAAACCCACGCGCCTGTAAAGCACTTGCCCTCCCTGGAGGGATCATCCTCCAAGACCGCAATGGATGTCCTTCCTATCTCTACTTGCCTCATAGAGCCCTAAAATTTAGATTTAAAATAAGGTTGTGATTTTCTTATAATAAATTTTCACCTTAATTATTTTATAACACAAAATTTTCCTACTTTGAATCCTTATTAATTAGTAGCATCCAAAGGCTTCTTCCCCAAGTGCGTTAGACATTAGATGCTTTTTTTTCTCCTCTGCATCACAGATTATCCTGTGGACAAAGGCACTAACCTTGGTTATTACGAAGACCAGATTTAGTTGCCATGGCTGGTGAAATCAACAATCATGGAATGAAAGTTCATTTCAACAAATTAAAAGTAATTTCCTTCCCAATGTAGATGAGAAGCAATGCAAGGTATGGGAACTTAGTAGTGTCAATAACCACAACATTCAATGCCATTGCCTCCAGTCTAAGAACCTCTGCACAAGGACCAATCTCCACTTGATGGCATAGACAAAGGAGCTAGGTGTAATTGTCATAAAGCTTGTCTAAAATCAGTACTAAGAGAAATGTGATGAAACCCAATGTTTAAATTTTGATTAATCATATACTTTTTAATTTTAATTTATATTTAAATCACTAACAACTCTTATAATCAAGCAACTATTTCTTTTCAAGTTTTGCTACTTAATATTGAAGCAAATCACATGGGATTAGTGTCTACCTAAAATAAAGTATAATTCTATTCACATTATAAACTTATTAGCTTAAATAATCTATTGTCCATAGAGTATCTATTGCTAAACTATAAGAATAAATTAACAGATGAAATTCTAAATAATTATTAATTAAATCAGATCCTATAAAATAAAGGTCATACAAATATAGAAGGTTTATTGCAAGATTCTCATAAAATAAAAACATGGGTTTCAAAAAAGTACATCTTATAAGAGAATACACTATAAAAATTAAAATATTCCTATTCATGAGGGATGATGAGAAAGGAGAATTAAACTCTTTTAGGTTTCATAAACATTATTCAAATATTACAAATTAAGTCACCATTATAAAAACTAAAATTTTAATATAACAATTAAGGTTATAGAAACTTGGTTTGCAAAATTAAAAATTAAGTAAGTGGTTTCTATAGAAGAAAAGTAAAAAAAGTAAAAAGAGAAAGCAAGTAATGAATTAAAGAAAGGGAATTAAATATTAATGTTATTTAATATTGTCATTGTATATATTGAACACATAGTTTAAGTGAGGAGAAAATCATATATTAATATGTGATGAAGTTGGAATGATTGTTAATAATGGATTTAAAGTTCTTAAAGATACAATTTCATAGTAAAAAAACTGATTAATTAAGTAATTATAAAAATTTACAAGGTATTAATTTGAGATAACATTTAAATCTTTTCCTAATGAGCAAAAAGTGTACTTCCATCAATTCATTAAAAAGTTACAAAAATAAGATATGGGATGTTTTAAGAATTTTATTTATATACATAATTTTAATGATATTCTATTAATGTTTATTTTGATAAATATAAAATTATTAATTTACTTATCAATTAAAAAACTCATTATTCCCTTTTGTATTTGATGCTGAAAATAATAATAATTGGATTTGGTACCTTACATTTGAAATGTTGATTAAAACTCATATCAGAATAATAGTATACTTTACAATTTCCTCTTTAAATGATAGAAAACATGTTAAAAGGTGTTCAATAAATGTTTGATAATGCATATAATAGACTTTTCATAATGCATTTTATTAAAAATTTGCACAAAATGGAAAACATTTTACATATTTACACCTTTGAACTTTAATGCATTTATAGCAAAAATTCATAATAAAAATCCAAATGTTACTTTTTGAATGTTAAATGTTTTAAAGCCAAATTAAAACAATTGTATTGTTTTAAAGGACAATGATTTAGATATTTAACAAGTAATATTTTAGAGTCTTTGAATGTATAATTAATTTAAAGTTGAAATATGCTTATCTTTGTGATATTTGAAAACATTTGATGCAAAATAATTAACATATAGTATCATAAGCAAAAGTAATAGACAATGTAGAAAAGCTTCTTCATAATGCAATTTCATAAATTTACTATTATATTGTTATGCCTTTAAATCCTACTATATTCAAAATATAAATGCACAAATATACTGATGTGGTGAATATACTAACATAGTTTTGCTTATGCTTTAGATAATAAAAAATTAGATTGCCTTGTAATCACACAATTAGTGCAATGTTATAAAAAAAATGAGCATGCACACTAATATATGCTACTTGTGGGTATTTTTATCCTATTGATATTGAACATTTGAAAATGGATAGTATATTGCCATTAAAAACTCATAAACTTTTAGGATGTTTAAGAAAAATATAAATTCACATTGAAAATCTCGAGAAAGAGAAATGAAAATTTTGTTGTGGATGTTTTGGTTAATGTGGTAATAACTGATGCATAATGTAAAGTTTTAAAATTTCTTATTGATTTTTAGTTATAAACCTAATATAAAAACACTTTCCCTTTATTGTTTTACTTGATCTCAGCTGACCCCTAGTTGCCATACACTTCCATCGGCAGCCTTGGAGTGGCCATGGCTTGCAGCGGAGTCTTGAGGTAGCAAGAGCCATTGTAAACCTCCTCTATGGATGGTATTGTCCCTGGCACAAAGCTCCAATCAAAGCCGTGAATGAGATTGGCCACCAGCAGCTCCACTGTTCGCAATCCCAAGGGCATTCCAGGGCACATTCTACGACCGGATCCAAACGGGAGGAGCTCAAAGTTTTGGCCTTTGAAATCGATGGAGCTCCCCAAGAAGCGCTCTGGGTAAAACTGGGTGGGATTCTCCCACACTGCCGAATCCATATGCACAGCCCAAACATTCACCAGGAGAGTGGTTCCCTTTGGAACGGTATAACCGGCAATTGTGGCTTCCTGGGTGGCCATGCGTGGGAAAAGGAGCACTCCTGGAGGATACATTCTAAGTGTCTCCTTGAGAACAAGCTGGAGATAGTCGAGCTTTGGGATGTCGGATTCTTGGACCATCTGGTCACTGCCTACGACTCGGTCAAGCTCCTCCCGGAGCTTGATCAAAACCCGAGGATTATGCATCACCAAGGCCATGATCCATTCGCTTGTGGTAGCAGTAGCGTCAGTCCCAGCCATAAGCATCTCCTGGAATGAAAGTTATAGCAATCACAAAGTACATAAGAAGAAGTCTTACCAACAGATTTGCTTTAACGTGTGTTTCCCCCTGGGCATTATTTCCGTAGAACTCAAGCATGATATCAAGGAAGTCCTTGCATTCCCGTGTCGTTTCCTTGTGCTCGTCAATGATCTTTCGCAAGAACTTCTCTTGTTTCGCATGGATTTGCTTGTACCGAGGGATCTGCCAGTCCAGCCATCTTAAATACCACGGTACGAGGGTGCTAATGCACGAGGGATTGATCACCAGGTCGACAATGGAGAGCAGAATCTCTTTGAATTCTAAAGCGTCGGAGTCGACTTCGTCTTCACCAAAGTACCTCTTGCTCATCAAAATCCTGGACATATTGTTGAAAGCAAAAATGGAGAACAGCGATCTTATTTCCACGGGCTTGCTGTTGCTGAAAGACTTTAAGATCTCTCCCAAGGCATGGGAGAGCTCCTCCTTTCTCATCCATGCAAATGAATCGATGGACTTGGCTGTGAAGAGCTCCATGGAACACAGCTTGCGAGTGTCTTTCCAGTACTTCCCATATGGAGAAGTTCCAAGTCCCGAATAGTTATAGCTGAAGTGGTCGCCTAAAACCATGTATGGCCTGGAACCAAACTTTATGTCGTGTGTGGTAAATACTTCCTTGATTATCTTCTGGCTAGAGATAACCACAGTGGGCATCATTCCCATCTTCAAGAACACAATGGGGCCATACTTTCTGGAGATAGATTGTAAACTCCTATGTGGGGGCTTTCCTGCCAGTAAATGAAGGTGGCCGATCAGGGGCAGTCCCCATGGGCCTGGGGGGAGGTTTTTGAAAGATCTGTAGCGCCATGATAGAACTAAGAAGAGAATAAAAGCTACAAAGAGCACAACTGGAAGGATTTCCATGAACGCAAACCTCTTACGCTGCCAATTGGAAAATTGCCTCTTTATATGGAAGTTCATAACACAACACCATACGTTCTAAGCAAGAGTTTGGTTCAATTGTGAGAACTCCAAGGCTACGCATGGGACTTAGATACAAATTTTAAAAGAAAGTTTGAATATATGGTTAACATCGTTCATGTGACAAATAAACCTGCAGATGCAACACCTCGTCCAAATCTCATAGAACTCGCAATGGGACCCAACTTGTATTGTGCCTTGGAGCTGGTTTTGAGGAAAATGTAGCCACTAGCTCACGTCCAAAACTCGCAAACTCGTCACCCGGCTGTGAATCCACTGTCCATTCTTGGTTTCCTTCATATGAACCAACCAAACAATAGAAGCTTCAAGCGTGTCAGATTTTTTGGTTTGAGCATTATGTGCAACTTTCTTTCTAGAAGGAGTTGACACGCTTGACTTTGAACGATAGTTTGGCTTTCCACGAGTTTTCTCATAACACATTCTTCCGGGAGAGCTCTGCAATACACCAGTCAGTCAAAGCCACAAAGTAACCTTTCTTTGGGTAATGTAAGCACAAAAGCCCCTAAAACTTATTCAAATGGACGGGCATACCGTTTCTCTACCAGCACTCTGCAACCTCAAATCTGTCCGACAGCAGGTTCTTAAGCTCATCATCGTCCGCGCCAACTACCGCCACCAGGATCTTCTGGAGCAACTGCTTCACCTCCCGGTTCAGCAACATAAAGTTGTCTCCCAGCCCGAAGCACGCCAGATGGATATGGCCGTCTTCACCTTTACCTTCGGTCCATAACACCCAGTTTGAGGGACTAACCAGCTTTGGCTCCTGTAGAAAGACCAGCAGCGTGACGATCCCGATATCTACGTCCAAAACACCGAACTCGCATTTAAGCTTGTCAGCTGAGACGGCTTGTAGCCATTCTTCGACAGGCCCTGGATGACAAGAACAAGGACTACCATTCTGCTCAGCTTCACCATACCAGCTTTCCTGCTCGGATTGGACCTTTCGAGACAGTAATCTTGATGGAGAAAGCTGGGCCTTCAATGCTGGGGATCACACCAGTTCCTGCAGAACATCCGCATGTCAGTCGGCATGCTGCAGCTCAAGCTCGTTCCTTCATAAATGACACACTCTCAAAAATATAGCCCTTGAATGACCCGTGATGCAAGACCGCCCTCTTCGCAGCTCGCTGATCATTACTTCGATCCGGACTTTGAAGGCAATGCATGACATTCTTGCCTGATCAGCGGGAACTGCCGGAAGAATGCAGCCCCTAAACTCCGAGTCCATGCCGCAGTGCCGGAGGAACCAGCGCACACCTTACGTAACCAATCCCATGATGCCTCTCATAGCCGTATAAAATACATATGACGTTATTTGTCGGTGATGTTGTCACGTTTGACTCTGTGCCCGGACATATGGTGAAACAAGAGAAACGTAACTTCACCAGTGATCCCCACACGAGCAGGCTCCCTTCTCAAAGTGGTGGAACCGGTTCCCATCTCTCACAAAAATCCTCTTCTCAGTGATATCTGAGAGGAGCTTGATCGCAGAGTGGCAGTCGGAGCACACCCGGTGGCTGTTGACGACTCTCAGCGGACGAGAATCGTCTGGATCTTTGGCAGCGATTTGTCCGTAGGCGATGGCAAGTCTTTCGCTGTGGAAGCACAGGCTACGTTGTTTCTCCTCGCGTGTGCCACCCTGCTGCTCCAAGTAAACTTCACTCGTGTCGGGGACGTATCCAGCTTGCTTCATGGGCTCTAAAAGTTCCAGCAGCAGGGACCGGACCCTCTCCATCTTCCGGCCGTCGTGACCCTCCTGCTGCTCGTTTCTACCACCACCCATAAACATGTGTAGCTCGTTGTCAATCTCGATGTAGCTTACTGCCACTGGCCTCGTCACTCCGCGCTCCTCCATCTCCTTCCGGACTCTTGGAGCGTCGTCAAATCGCTTGGCAGCGGCGTACATGTTGGAGAGGAAGACGTAAGGGAGAGTCTCTGCCGGTGCTAGCTCGAAAACTTTCCTGGCGGCTCTCTCGCCACGATCCAAGTCACCGTGGCGCTTGCAACCCGACAGTAAAGTCATCCAGGCCACTGCGTCTGCTTGATAAGGCATAGTTTCCACCAGCTCTTCGGCGTCTCCCAGTCTTCCCGAGCGGCCCAGAACGTCCACCATGCAAAGGTAGTGCTCCACCAATGGTACCACTCCGTGGTCCATCACCAAAGACTGGAAGAAATCTCGACAATCAGCCAAGAGTGAAGTATGGCTGCAAGCAACCAGGACGCTCACGAACGTGATTCCGTCGGCTGGAATACCTTCCTGCTCCATCTTCCTGTAAATCCTGAGTGCCTGTTTCTTACGACCGTGCTGTGTGAAGGCGGCGATCATCGCATTGCAAGAGAAGGCGTCTCTCGTCTTCATCCTGTTAAACACGCGTCTCGCGTCGTCCAGGCTTCCACATCTCGCGTACATGCTGAGCAAGGAAGTCTCCATCTGCGGGGACGCGAGATTGGCTTCCACAACTCGGTGATGAATCTCTCGGCCTTCGTCCAAAGCTCCCAGCAGTGCACAGGCATTGAGAGCACTGGAGAAGCTCACACCACTCGGCTCCACGTCCATCCTCTTGAAAAGGTTGAGAGCCTCCTGTGGATTCCCATGCTGAGCGTAGGCCACGATCATCGAAGTCCAGGAGATCATGTTCCTAGCCGTCATGGAGTCGAAGACCTTCCGAGCTTCCACCGGGCTCCCACACTTCCCATACATTGTCACCAGCGCGTTCTGGACGACAACGTTCGTGTCGAATCCCCGCGAAGCCAGGTGCCTGTGGACCTTCCTCCCCTTCTCCAAGTTCCCCAGCCCTTCAACAGCACCCAGGATGGTGGCGAACGTATAAGCGTTCGGTTCGATAGCCTCCACCTTCAATCAGCCGCGGGCAGCTTCTCCCTGACGCCGCCTCGCGACCGCCGGCATACGCACGGAAGAACCCTAATTTCCGGTGTGTAAGTTCTTGATCCCCCAAAGCTGCTCGTCGTCATTTAGTCATATAGCGGCGAGATTCAGAGCCACAGCCAAGAGCCTATGATATATGTGCTAGCTGTAAGCTAGATTACGTTTTCAAATTTGTAGTACTTCCGAGTGCCAAAGTTCTAACTAAATGATGAAAACGCAAAATGAAAGTGATCACGAGATTGGCCTGGAAGACATCCATGAGAACATTCTTTGAAACCAGCTCCAGCACTTACCTGAGCCAGATAACAATCTTTTCATTGCCAAGGTCGCCGATGTTCTCAACTTTCATCGCCTTCCATCGCAAAAGTAGCTCGTGGCTGCCGACCCACCTTTAACATTGAGTTGTTGCGTGGAAAACTGGTTTTAAGGAGTAGGTTTAGGGTCTAGGGTTTAAGGGTTCCGTTTAGGGGAGCCTCAGATTCGTGAGCAGCTCCTTGGCCACCAGCCTCTCGACACTCGAGTAGACGTTTGCCATGGCTCCAGATGGCTGGAACCCGAGAGCTTGAGCACGATGATATCAGAAAGCGTAATAGTGCTGGGCTAGTCCAGAAAATGTGATGACTCTATACACTCTCAAGCTCTCCCCTATTACGTGGTATCCCATGCCTGGAGCGCATTGGCTCGAACAAGCCTTCCCGACGTTCTCAGGAGAGCCCATGACATGAAGCTATTGAAGCAAAGGGACAACCACTACTGCTGAACAAACAGATTCATTTCCATTTCTTTGTTTCTACTTTTTCTGATATAGGCGGGATCCAATGATCTGACTCACCAAAGTTGAAAAACCAAAAAAGGCTCACCCGATCGAAAACTTGCATTATTAGGGCTGTGGCAAAAGATGACACAGAGATAGTTGTGGAAGCACTTGATTTTCATCTCGTGTCGGAAGGAGAAGAGGTCATTGATAAGGGCGGCGTGATCAGCCACTGCGTTGACAAATGCTACAAACTCTGGAGATTCAACCATACCCTTATCCAGCTTGAGATCCATGCAAAACTCACACATAATGCCTCCGGATCCTTCAACGAAAACTGTCCCTCTCCGGAGCAACTGATATTTCTCGAGACTTGGGATGGATTTGGCAGATCGCAAAGAGGCCTCCTCCACCAAAGAATCCAGAAATGTTTTCAAACAAATCATATAGCGAGCAAACAGTGGGGATCCATGAGACTCCGAAAGCTCGACATCACCTCCTCAAACATGGCATAGCTAGGATGCTTCTGCTTCTCTTTTTCACTCAAGACATAGCTTTCCTTAGCAACTTCAAGCAGAATATCAGCAGTTTTTGTCCCCTCTTTCTCACTGATTGTCTCAGCAATGTCATCCAGAACAAAAAGAGTCCATAAATGCTTTGATGCAACCTCTACTTTACTGCTCTCTCCTCTAGGAGTCGCTACTGGGCCTAACGAACCAAATCTTGCCTGAATAGCTTTCTCTCTTTCATATGGATCAGTGATGCTTAACATTCGAATGGCCCATTCATCAGTAGCTTTGGATATCTTACTAGAATCAGGATGGCATTCAAAGGGAATGCTACAAGAGATGAAAGACAAATCAAACTTGGTAACTCTAGAGAATCTTTCAACCGAAGCATCTTCCATCTCTCTCTTTCGCTCACTACCTAGTTATAGATATAATGGGAAAAAACATTAAATTATATTGTACAACTCAGAAGGTATATTTTGCCCATTAACCATGTGTGCCTACTGTTTAGTTAGAGGTTTATAGTTACAGATCTATCTGGCGTGGAGGCGCCATCAAGAATAGAGGAAAATTTTAAACATGAAGTGTTGAGCACAAATAATGTTTGCATGAAAACTTTTTTTAAGAATGCCAAATTAATACTTTAACGTCCACCATGTGGACATATGTTGAAACAAAAGAAACGTAATTTCACCAGTGATCCCCACACGAGCAGGCTCCCTTCTCAAAGTGGTGGAACCGGCTCCCATCTCTCACAAAAATCCTCCTCTCAGTGATATCTGAGAGGAGCTTGATCGTAGAATGGCAGTCGGAGCACATCCGGTGGCTGTTGACGACTCTCAGCGGACGAGAATCGTCTGGATCTTTGGCAGCGATCAATCCGTAGGCGATGGCAAGCCTTTCGCTGTGGAAACACAGGCTACGTTGTTTCTCCTCCTCGCTTGTGACACCCTGCTGCTCCAAGTAAACTTCCCTCGTGTCGGGGACGTATCCAGCTTGCTTCATGGGCTCTAAAAGTTCCAGCAGCAGGGACCGGACCCTCTCCATCGTCCGGCCGTCGTGACCCTCCTGCTGCTCGTCTCTACCACCACTCGTGAACATGTGTAGCTCGTTGTCAATCTCGATGTAGCTTACTGCCACTGGCCTCGTCACTCCGCGCTCCTCCATCTCCTTCCGGACTCTTCGAGCGTCGTCAAATCGCTTGGCAGCGGCGTACATGTTGGAGAGGAAGACGTAAGGGAGAGTCTCTGCCGGTGCTAGCTCGAAAACTTTCCTGGCGGCTCTCTCGCCACGATCCAAGTCACCGTGGCGCTTGCAACCCGACAGTAAAGTCATCCAGGCCACTGCGTCTGCTTGATATGGCATAGTTTCCACCAGCTCTTCGGCATCTCCCAGTCTTCCCGAGCGGCCCAGAACGTCCACCATGCAAAGGTAGTGCTCCACCAATGGTACCACCCCGTGGTCCATCACCAAAGACTGGAGGAAATCTCGACAATCAGCCACGAGTGAAGTATGGCTGCAAGCAACCAGGACGCTCACGAACGTGATTCCCCTCCTGCTCCATCTTCCTGTAAATCCTGACTGTGCCTGTTTCTTACGACCGTGCTGTGTGAAGGGGCGATCATCGCATTGCAAGCGAAAGCGTCTCTCGTCTTCATCCTGTTAAACACGCGCCTCGCGTCGTCCAGGCTTCCACACCTCGCGTACATGCTGAGAAAGGAAGTCTCCATCTGCAGGGACGCGAGATTGGCTTCACAACTCAGTGATGAATCTCTCGGCTTTCGTCCAAAGCTCCCAGCAGTGCACAGGCATTGAGAGCACTGGAGAAGCTCACACCACTCGGCTCCACGTCCATCCTCTTGAAAAGGTTGAGAGCCTCCTGTGGATTCCCATGCTGAGTGTAGGCCGTGATCATCAAAGTCCAGGAGATCATGTTCCTAGCCGTCATGGAGTCGAAGAACTCCTGAGCTTCCACCGGGCTGCCACACTTCCCATACATTGTCACTAGCGTATAATAGTAATAATAATAATAATAATAACTGGATTTGGTATTTTATATTTGAAATGTTTATTAAAATTCATATCAGAATAATAGTACACTTTACAATTTCCTCTTTAAATGGTAGAAAATATATTAAAAGGTGTTCAATTAATGTTTGATAATGCATATAATGGACTTTTCATGAGGTATTTTATTAAAAATTTGCACAAAATGTTCAAATTTATTTACTTGTTTAAAAAATATTTTACATATTTACACCTTTGAACTTTAATGCAATTATAGCAAAAATTCATAATAAAAATCCAAATGTTACTTTTTGAGTGTTAAATGTTTTAGAGCCAAATTAAAACAATTACATTTTTTTAAAGGATAATGATTTAGATATTTAACAAGTAATATTTTAGAGTCTTTGAATGTATAATTAATTTAAAGTTGAAATATGCTTATCTTTGTGATATTTGAAAACATTTGATGCAAAATAATTAACATATAGTATCATAAGCAAAAGTAATAGACAATGTAGAAAAGCTTCTTCATAATGCAATTTCATAAATTTACTATTATATTGTTATGCCTTTAAATCCTACTATATTCAAAATATAAATGCACAAATATACTGATGTGGTGAATATACTAACATAGTTTTGCTTATGCTTTAGATAATAAAAAATTAGATTGCCTTGTAATCACACAATTAGTGCAATGTTATAAAAAAAATGAGCATGCACACTAATATATGCTACTTGTGGGTATTTTTATCCTATTGATATTGAACATTTGAAAATGGATAGTATATTGCCATTAAAAACTCATAAACTTTTAGGATGTTTAAGAAAAATATAAATTCACATTGAAAATCTCGAGAAAGAGAAATGAAAATTTTGTTGTGGATGTTTTGGTTAATGTGGTAATAACTGATGCATAATGTAAAGTTTTAAAATTTCTTATTGATTTTTAGTTATAAACCTAATATAAAAACACTTTCCCTTTATTGTTTTACTTGATCTCAGCTGACCCCTAGTTGCCATACACTTCCATCGGCAGCCTTGGAGTGGCCATGGCTTGCAGCGGAGTCTTGAGGTAGCAAGAGCCATTGTAAACCTCCTCTATGGATGGTATTGTCCCTGGCACAAAGCTCCAATCAAAGCCGTGAATGAGATTGGCCACCAGCAGCTCCACTGTTCGCAATCCCAAGGGCATTCCAGGGCACATTCTACGACCGGATCCAAACGGGAGGAGCTCAAAGTTTTGGCCTTTGAAATCGATGGAGCTCCCCAAGAAGCGCTCTGGGTAAAACTGGGTGGGATTCTCCCACACTGCCGAATCCATATGCACAGCCCAAACATTCACCAGGAGAGTGGTTCCCTTTGGAACGGTATAACCGGCAATTGTGGCTTCCTGGGTGGCCATGCGTGGGAAAAGGAGCACTCCTGGAGGATACATTCTAAGTGTCTCCTTGAGAACAAGCTGGAGATAGTCGAGCTTTGGGATGTCGGATTCTTGGACCATCTGGTCACTGCCTACGACTCGGTCAAGCTCCTCCCGGAGCTTGATCAAAACCCGAGGATTATGCATCACCAAGGCCATGATCCATTCGCTTGTGGTAGCAGTAGCGTCAGTCCCAGCCATAAGCATCTCCTGGAATGAAAGTTATAGCAATCACAAAGTACATAAGAAGAAGTCTTACCAACAGATTTGCTTTAACGTGTGTTTCCCCCTGGGCATTATTTCCGTAGAACTCAAGCATGATATCAAGGAAGTCCTTGCATTCCCGTGTCGTTTCCTTGTGCTCGTCAATGATCTTTCGCAAGAACTTCTCTTGTTTCGCATGGATTTGCTTGTACCGAGGGATCTGCCAGTCCAGCCATCTTAAATACCACGGTACGAGGGTGCTAATGCACGAGGGATTGATCACCAGGTCGACAATGGAGAGCAGAATCTCTTTGAATTCTAAAGCGTCGGAGTCGACTTCGTCTTCACCAAAGTACCTCTTGCTCATCAAAATCCTGGACATATTGTTGAAAGCAAAAATGGAGAACAGCGATCTTATTTCCACGGGCTTGCTGTTGCTGAAAGACTTTAAGATCTCTCCCAAGGCATGGGAGAGCTCCTCCTTTCTCATCCATGCAAATGAATCGATGGACTTGGCTGTGAAGAGCTCCATGGAACACAGCTTGCGAGTGTCTTTCCAGTACTTCCCATATGGAGAAGTTCCAAGTCCCGAATAGTTATAGCTGAAGTGGTCGCCTAAAACCATGTATGGCCTGGAACCAAACTTTATGTCGTGTGTGGTAAATACTTCCTTGATTATCTTCTGGCTAGAGATAACCACAGTGGGCATCATTCCCATCTTCAAGAACACAATGGGGCCATACTTTCTGGAGATAGATTGTAAACTCCTATGTGGGGGCTTTCCTGCCAGTAAATGAAGGTGGCCGATCAGGGGCAGTCCCCATGGGCCTGGGGGGAGGTTTTTGAAAGATCTGTAGCGCCATGATAGAACTAAGAAGAGAATAAAAGCTACAAAGAGCACAACTGGAAGGATTTCCATGAACGCAAACCTCTTACGCTGCCAATTGGAAAATTGCCTCTTTATATGGAAGTTCATAACACAACACCATACGTTCTAAGCAAGAGTTTGGTTCAATTGTGAGAATCGAACTAAACTCGAAGGCTACGCATGGGACTTAGATACAAATTTTAAAAGAAAGTTTGAATATATGGTTAGCATTGTTCATGTGACAAATAAACCTGCGGATGCAACACCTCGTCCAAATCTCATACAGCTCGCAAGGGGACCCAACTTCTATTGTACCTTGGAGCTGGTTTTGAGGAAAATGTAGCCACTAGCTCACGTCCAAAACTCGCAAACTCGTCACCCGGCTGTGAATCCACTGTCCATTCTTGGTTTCCTTCATATGAACCAACCAAAGAATAGAAGCTTCAAGTGTGTCAGACTTTTTGGTTTGAGCATTATGTGCAACTTTCTTTCTAGAAGGAGTTGACACGCTTGACTTTGAACGATAGTTTGGCTTTCCACGAGTTTTCTCATAACACATTCTCGCGGGAGAGCTCTGCAATACACCAGTCAGTCAAAGCCACAAAGTAACCTTTCTTTGGGTAATGTAAGCACGAAAGCCCCTAAAACTTATTCAAATGGACGGGCATACCGTTTCTCTACCAGCACTCTGCAACCTCAAATCTGTCCGACAGCAGGTTCTTAAGCTCATCATCGTCCGCACCAACTAGCGGATCTGGCATCGCCACCAGGATCTTCTGGAGCAACTGCTTCACCTCCCGGTTCAGCAACATAAAGTTGTCTCCCAGCCCGAAGCACGTCAAATGGATATGGCCGTCTTCACCTTTGCCTTCGGTCCATAACACCCAGTTTGAGGGACTAACCAGCTTTGGCTCCTGTAGAAAGACCAGCAGCGTGACGATCCCGATATCTACGTCCAAAACACCGAACTCGCATTTAAGCTTGTCAGCTGAGACGGCTTGTAGCTACCCTGTATCGGTATTTGCTTGCAGATGTGCGGCGGGCAAAGCACGAAGCTCTTTCTCGACTCATGCTTGCAATCAAGACCATGCGCCGTCTTCAACTTCGTGTACACCAGTTCTTTGGTTCGCGGTCAGTGCGATATGATGAGCTCAACATAAACCAAACGATAACCATTCTTCGACAGGCCCTGGATGACAAGAACAAGGACTACCATTCTTCTCGGCTTCACCATGCCATCTTTCCTGCTCGGATTGGAGCTTTCGAGACAGTAATCTTGACGGAGAAAGCTGGGCCTTCAATGCTGGGGATCACACCAGTTCCTGCATCCGCATGTCAGTTGGCATGCTGCAGCTCAAGCTCGTTCCTTCATAAATGACACACTCTCAAAATATAGCCCTTGAATGACCCGTGATGCAAGACCGCCCTCTTTGCAGCTCGGTGATCATTACTTCGATCCAGACTTTGAAGGCAATGCATGACATTCTTGAGTGCCTGATCAGCGGGAACTGTCGGAAGAATCCAGCCCCTAAATTCCGAGTCCATGTCGCAGTGCCGGAGGAACCGGAGCACGCCTTACGTTACCAATCCGATGATGCCGTATAAAATACATATGACGTTATTTGTCGGTGATGTGTCACGTTTGATTTGTTCCACGTGTTCGAACCAAGTTATGAGGACTGGAGCAGAGCCCTAAGCGGAGACTTCCCATCCAGCTCCTCCCCCAGGACTTGCTCGAGATAGAGCACCATGGAAGCCTTGGTGCTGTAGCTTGCAAGCTTGTCTGCGAGCTCCGGGGTCCGAGGAGGATAAGCCGAAGAATGTACGCTCGCAAGGCTGCAGTGGCAGACGTGAACTCCCAGCTGGCGACTTCCCCGTGCACGATGCCTGGACAAGGCAAGAGTACTATGCTGTAATGGATGCCTGTGCTTCACTAGTTTGAGAAATGCAGAAGAACGAAGACTTGCCCTCGTCCAACATGTTCCTCAGCTCGTTGATGTGTGCATACACTGATTCATGCGTACCTCCCATGAATTCCAACCCGCTCACGTCCCTGGGTACAGTACCTTAGGACATAATACAAATTAGTGCTGCTTAACGATGTTCAAAAATATACCTTCCTCTCTTAAATGAATTGAAAATACCTATAAAGTGATATCCTTGATGCCCTACCTCTAGAATCTAAGCCCGAAGCATCTCTTCACACACAGTAAGTTAATGCTCCCTGAGAGAAATATGAACAAGAGCAACCCAATAGACCACGATTACAATGATATCAGTAGGATATTTTACTAGTATTTAAAATTAGGACACTTCTTTGTGATCTAAGCTAACGAAAATAAAATTTCAGAAGAAACTAGTAATTAATAAATAAATCAAAATAATCAAAGATTACTGAGGAACCCAAAGAACATGTTAAGACAAGAAGCCTCATAGAGACAATACCATTGGGTGATGAATATAAAGAAGTGGTGGCAAAGATAGGACGCATTCCACT